ACCGCGAGCATCCTGACAAGCCCAGCCCGGCTACGCTACCTGGGTGAAGAAACCCCCAGCTCAACCAAGACGAAGCCTCCGCCTACGACGAGTACCACTTCCAACGGTGAAAGGAGTATCCTTCGCAGCGACACAACTGGTGAAGCAGATCGGGGTCCATTTTCGGTAGCTTTGTTTCTGTCGCTTTGGTTTAGAACCATTCGAGGACGAATGGTGTTTAGAGGGGGGATACTGTCACAGCACCATCACGACTTGTCTAAGACGCTCACATGAGCACAGACTATTAGCGCACTACAAAAGCTGTAGTCTAGATAGCTTCCTCTTCCATCCCCCTTAAGGCACAACTACGTTACTACCAGCACCTTAGATTCGCCCCGTGGTACTTACTATTTCTGGAATTTTCCTGGAAACAAGTGGCGGTGGCTGGTTTGGAAGCGCCTTCTTCTCATGCATTGTTGTGTTCGTTGGATCTGTCGCTCTCCTGTTCGTAGGGGCGTATTGGCTCCAAAATTCTGAAACTACATCACGAATCTCCGATGGATCGTCAGCAGCCCTGCACATTTGACAACTCCAAATGGTACATCTTAGATTCAACACATGCTTACGTCCCTCTGGAAACTACGTCAAGTACCCATGACTACCGGAGTCCTATTATCTGGGGATTTGAGCACTCCACCCATCAAATAAACTCAGGCAGCAAACTTCTCACACTGTATCAATAGGGCTTCAATGTATTACGTGTGAATACAAATGATACTGTCAGTAGGACCCATTGTGGCATTAATCTGTTTCTAGCTTCAATGGTAACGTACTCGATCGAGCCCGAAAACAGGGAATTGCTATGCAGTCAATCCTAGCCCATGGTGATGATTCTGCTCCAACCATCCGTCTGTTGTCAACAAAGTATCTATCCTAACAACCTCTAAGATTCCGGCCACGTAGTCCCTCAAGTGAGCCAGCTGAGGACGATTGTCGACGCAAACATTCCAGGTAAACAAGCTGCTTGAGTGTTCTCCGCACATTGGGTGAAACTCTCTGCGAGCGGATATGGCGCCCCTGGCGACCTCTATCACTGTTAATGCGTAGTGATCCAATTGCTGTGAATTATTGTCCATATGATCCGGATGGCTTTTTCGCTCTGATAAGAGAGCTTCGAGTCCGTGCAAGTGATGGATTGCTGGTTCGGGGCATCCATGTAGTGCTGTCTCGAAGAATACCAGCATCATGATCGCCAAAACTAGTTCGGACCCAAATCCTTGCTTGATTCTGACCGCCACACCCTCCAAAATTAATCCATAAATTTCATAAAGATAATAGGGAAACAAGTGCTCTCCCTCTGATGGATTGAGTCTTCGAAGCTCCAGAGCCATTACGATCGAAAGCCAGCCCAAATGGGTTTGTTTCGCGGTATTTATGACAATTTGCGTGAAATTGAAGTGGTTGGGACGCCTGAAGCTGTCCCATACTGCTCCCTGGAGCCCTGTACTGGGAGAACCATCGGCGGGCGCTTCATCGGTTGCCTTGTTTTTGAATTTTGTTTCTGGAAAATGCCGATGTGCAGCAACTTGCTCCAAACTACTACCACAAGCAAGACCGTCCGTTCTCTGCACCGCCTTATGCACCGGGTAAGCAGACTTGCAACGTTTCCGCCCTTTACGCGCGCCATCAGTAGTCGACAGCAACAAAAATCACCTAGAGAGTTTCGTCAAATCAAGGTTATTTCTTGAAAGATATTGGCCCCTGGCACTCTTGGTAATTGAACGAGATGGTTTAAGGCAAGAAAAACATCTTGGTCTGTTTTTGTTGCGGCAAATCGACTTGGTTTAATATACGTGTGTGAGCAAGCGGTAGCAATCCGTTCAACGTGTTGGAGTGAGAAATCAGACGAGCTGACCCACAAGAGCTTGGATCAGCAGCGTTACATCGCAGGTCATGTCGCGGACGTAGGTCCCCCCATCTTTGCTTGGTTACGGTGCACATCGTACGTGGTGTATCTGTGCCTCTGGGATCATCACGGTGAATTGGGGACTCCACAACTGTACAGAAATTTGGTCAACAGCACCAAGTTCTCTTCGAACTACCCTAATCTTTGATATGTACATAGAGCAACTAGTATACCTTTAGCTACATCTCTCTCCTGTTAGTCAAGCTCGGTTCTTCGACATAAGTAATGCCTGACTTATTCTCCGCTCCAACATGTCCTGTATAAGTTCATTAACGTATTCCTCCAACTGCTCCCAAAATAAAGCGTCTGGGTGGAAATACAACAAAAAGGGCCTATGGGAAAGCAATAATCGGAAAGTGTTAAGGGATACTATTATCCTGCGCAAAAGCAGCTTCCTCTGCGGAACACTACGAGATTAATTTTCGGCAGCGCCAAAATTCTCGTTTAGACTCGGAAAAAGAATTATTAACAATGAAAGCTTTGCTTTTGAATTGTCCTAGTTTTTAAGTCAAGTTTTGGTAGTTTATGGGAGTTTTTGGACGACATACATGCCAGGACACCATACTACCATATGATGAAGACTGTGGAGACAGGAAGCTATTTTTGCGCATAATAATATATTATGTAATATTAAGACAAGCTTTGTTGTCTTCGATGAGCGATAGCCTTTTTGCGTTCCTTCTACTACGGCTTCCCTGGGCGTAGTAACCTTAAGGCTGCTTTCGACTCCATGATATCACAATGCAGATTTAACTACATCTCGGGTCACAACCCCCAATTCCTGACTCCTGACCCTGACAGAACTTGTTGGCGGTTCCATTGTTTTGTGCTTCCCAAATGTAGACTACGTCTTATGATGTTTTAATTCCTGTTTGTATCTAATATAGAGAGTATTAGCCCTTGCCTAACTGATTTGGCCATCGCCTGGTTTTCGCGTACAGATCATGAAAAGACCTCAACAATTTACCTGGTACGAGAGAAGATGTGCGAGTATCATTACCTACAAATGACCTGAACCTTCGCTAAACAGAGATCACATTTGTCAAGAATCCCCTGCTCCAATTCCTTCCCATGTTTCAGGTAACAAATCCGTGCAGCTCACATGCTCAATCATGTTACACTAGTTCCCTTACACGCCGCCCGGGTGTTCTTGGCGAAAGACGGGATCACGGGCAAGGCAGGGCCATACAGAGGAATGGCAGAATACGTATAGCATCATCCCAGAAGCTGTCTGACAACCTGGTCTAGATTGTTTATCCTCCACAAATTTAGTAACGGCTGTGGAGCTTGACGCCCCTCGGAATTTGCACCTACCACTGGAATATGACCCCTTGTAACTAGCTTTTACCGCACTATACCGACAGTATTTATGTGTCGAATATTCCATGTCGCCCTCTTTTGACTGAGTTTATTATTGTCTTTAAAACCTTCATGCAATTTTTGCAATACTTGTGAAGAAATATGCTCACCTTTCTCATCATACTCCTGTTATGCAACTTCGTCGCGGGGACTAACAAGGTAGTCTCCGTCACAACCTACACAACGACAACAGTATGCCCTATCACAAGAACGTTTACAAGCAGTGGAGTGTGAGTACCCCTCATTGCGGCCATCAGAGGCGTCAACTAAAATTGTTTTAGGACACTTGCATCGACGAAGCTGACCACTTCTACAATCACTGTTGCCGTCGAGCAAACTGTCCAAGTGCCTGGACCGACAACAACCCTTACACGGCTTATCGACATCAATGTGACGCGGACCTTAACCAGCGAGAAAGTAATCACCCTTCCAACAGTTGAACTCACCAAGCGTATAACTTCCTTTGCCACTTTCATTGAGAGTGTGGAGAGCTCTTCATCGCCGTCCATTTCTCTGCCAAACACGGAAAAAGGGACCCTGACCCAGCCTCGTTCCTCGACCACGGATTCCATTCCAGTGACAAAAACATCACGACTACATTCAGGCACAGTCTCTGAAACGGCGTCAACAAGCACCATGTCATCAAACGAGTTAGATTCGGCCATGGAATCGACAAATTTACACGAAAATTCGTATTCTCCATCACCTCATGGCATCAGCGCCAACACACCCAGCTCGGTAGCTGAACCCGTTCTTGCCAGTATGACCAGCACGTCCACACCGGCCAACTTGGTGTCGTACAACACGGAGCAACATCACCCAACCACAGCTTCGGTAACGGCAACCGGACTAGTTGAACCCAGTCCACTCGCATCAGAGCCACCTGCTGTGCCAGACTCTGTTGTCCCCGGAGATTCGCCTGCCTCATCTCCCCCCGTGATAAGCCTTGGAACTTTGTTATATCTGCCTGTTACGCTGTGGTCAGCCACGCTGGCTTTTACCGTATTTGGTATTATATGGGGCGCTGCATGAGTATAGAAGGAAGGTCAGAACACTTTGTGAGTGGATAGCACATTTCAACTCGTATGCTGCACGATGACTTCTGCAGTGCAGTTTCGAAGTGGAGTTATTGAATTTGTTTTGTTCTTTTTGGGTTACACATTTCTGTAGCTCACAGCTTTAAGGCTCAGGTTGTATGTTGAGGGATACTCTACGCGACTCGTAATAGTCAAGGTGTTAAATACGTAGCGTAGTCGAAATGAGATACTGCCTTTGACTGTTATTACGATGCAGTATCTCACCGCACTATATTTATTGCAATTCTGTGGAGATGATTCAAACTTACGCAAGTATACTCCCGTAGAGCTGCGGCGGAGATATTTTAAACGTGGTACAATCAACCCACTCCAATCCCTGAGTGCTGTGTTTGGGGTATAAGAAGCACGGTCGCCCCCTTCTGGCAAACGGCATGCCAAATATCAAGGACAACCCGCGTTACAACCTGAGACCCAGACTCTCCGTAGTCAAATACTATGAAACGCAATCCGGCAGGAGACCAGAAGAAAGCACCAAGTGGACTCCATCCTCAGATTCGTGGGAGGACGAAATTGCTTTTGTCGCCGACGCGGCCCGCGACAACACTGGGAAGATCACATTTCAAGTCACCTGGACAAATGGTGACAAGTCTACGTGTGAGGCGACGGAACTATACAAGAAGTGTCCCCAAAAGGCGGGTAGATCTCTTTCAAAGGCAACATCTTACTAAATCTAACTAGCAATTGCTCAGGTACTACAGTATTATGACACCGAATTTTGAAAGCCGCTCCTTACCAGACAGGCAGAACAAGATGGCATGGTTTAACAAACCACTACCGCGTGTGTTGTCATTAGATATCTAGTCCAGTTACGCCCCTCATGATGAAGCGTGGGTACCAATATGTTAATGTCTTGGTTGGAATCATATGCCAGATTTCCCTCCACTTCCCTTCAGTTGTGTTTTATATGTTTCTTATGTTAACATCGGTATTATACTGTACTGTACTGTACCGAGTGCAAAGATATGTTTCGTTTTATCCATGTTGATCATGCATAATGCAGATGTTGAGTCATCGTAATCTCACCTTGGGAGATAAGTTGCTCATTTCAGTTGTGCAATATGAATTTTATAACGAGAAATCTCGATGCTGTCATCTCGTTCGATGCTCTCTCTACACCTCTAATATTGCAAACGAGCTCTAATCGCCACTGTACTCTTTGATTGGCAAGACATGCCGAGGAATAGGGTAGAGAGCGCTGGAGTGGCCGATCAAATTTCCAAGAAACACAGCTATGAATAGTTTTAAGCCCAGTAGTTGGCAGAAACATTGTATTTAATATCAGTACCAATAAACGTATTCTTAGAATCTCTACCGGGTACACTAGGTTTGCATCCGTGTTAGCGAGACATGTGGGATAGGCTACGTATCTCGTATGTAAGTAATGGTATTCAAAAGTGAAAGATAGCTCGAAAGATTGGCTCGACCGACCAACTGTTATGTTGTCCTTGTTGTCCTAACACATTCCAAATGGTATGTACTACAGTAGGAGGTACCGAATACATAGTGAGACCTGAGATCTTGCCCCATTTTGCAACACCTGCAGCTAGACCATAGCTTGGCTATTGCTAATTATACAAGCACCTAATTCGTAGAGTTAGACAGTTATATCGAGTTGACTTTGCCTTGTCCAGGTCTGGGCATGATCGTCAGTCGTGATGTTCTTGCTCATGTACGGTTCCCTTTATTTTCACTCTAGGCTTGCTAGGACAACAGGTTTTCCGGTGTCCAGGGTTCCTTCGAGGAGTCCACAAATCCTACGCAGATTGATCTCCAGCTGTCGATCCGCCGCTGATATATCCTGGTGGGCTTTTAAAGGACCATTTTGTGTCAAATATAAGTAGTCCAAGGAATCCCGTCTCATCTTGGTTCCCTACGGCACAGAAAGAAAAGACGTCGCCCCAGATGAGGTTCCCGACCAATCTCCTTGGCTTGGCTGCCCTAACCGCTGTAGCGGTGCATCCCTGCTTAGGTCAACACGGCTCTATCCTCAAAGTCGAGGTTGGAGCGGATGACAATCTCAGATACAACCCTGCCAGCTTGGAAGCTCCAGTCGGCACCAAGATTGAGTTTCACTTCTTCCCCAAGAACCACAGCGTCATTGAATCCTCCTTTGACAATCCTTGCCACCCTCTGAGCAGCGACGGATTTTCCTCCGGTTTCATTCCTGTGACAGAATCTCCGTCTAACACAACATTCACTATCATCATAAAAGACACTGATCCTATCTGGTTCTACTGCGCACAGGCAAATCACTGCGAGAGGGGTACGTTTACGTGCTGCGTCACCAAGAGCCTAGATATTTCTGTTTACCACCCTTCATTTGTACATTAGTAACATTGTATAGGCATGGTAGGCGCCATCAATGCGCCCAAGACAGGGAAGACTTTCCAGGCCTTCCTCGATCTTGCGCAGAAAGCTTCTGATAGTACCTCGCCTCCCAGTGAAGCCGCTGGTGGGACCTTGGGGTACATCAATGATGGCAGTGCCTCGCCAGGATGGGACCAAACCGCGGAACCTCTCGTAACTGCCCCAACAAACGAGGTCTTCACTACCGCTCCCGCACCGACTCGCACGACTCGCGCATACACTACGAACGAGTATAAAGTCACCTGGACCAGCAGTGGACACAAGTTCACAACCATAGCAACCACTACTCAGTTTACCACCGCAATCTTTGGTGTCAGCCCTACGTTGACTGGGGAGGTTGGCACGTCTACCAGTGAGGCGGTCGCTGCTTTTGCCACAGGTGTACCAGCATACCAATTTTGGCAAACTGGAATGTGTATCCTTGCTGTGGCGGCTATGTTGTGAATCAATATGATGGATGCGTTTCAAGGCAATGACAGTGGCAGTTAAACAAGGGGAAGGCCATCACATCAGCATCTGTAGTAAATTCAGGGTTGTGTTATGTGACAAAGTTGCTGCTCCTGTGACTTGTTCGCTTCTTTCTAGTTAATTTCAAGTGTCGGAATGATGCAAAGGCATTAACAGGGCGCTCCAATGACTGACGACGCCGCGAACCTGCTACATCATTAGCTTTTCCCACTGCCGGTCCTCTTCCCCGTGACAGTATTGATTTAGATGAGCCGCTGTTCCTGGCTTGTGAAAGCTGTCTCATTAACAGAGATATAAAGTGCCTGGGGTTAACAGCATGGACATCATAATGGAACATGGCCAATGTCAGCAAATGGGACGACGGAGTCTCAACAGTAGACTCACTGGCGTCTACTTGTGTGGACGCGAAAAGCGCATTCGAAAGCTTGCTTGAAATAAAAGACGCGGATATTTTTCTGACGAGTTTGCGATCCACTCTCCGGAAAGTTGACGCCGGCATCGACGAATTAGAGGACCTCTTGAACATGGCAGGCTCCCTTCAAAGCACCACGCTGATACCAGATTTTGCCGAAGCAATGCATGAGTGGATATTCTTAGACTTGAACGATTTTCTCTATCATGTCTCTCGTAACCATTCAACGGGTTGCAAGTGCTTCACCCAACACATCCAAAGCCCCTACTTCCAGTTCGGCAAGTTTATCCATCGCGAGGAAGCCCGGCAGGTAGTACGAGAAATGAACGGGAAACCCGAGATCGAAGTGCTGAGAGAAGTCATCACTTGTGTCAGGGGGGACGAGCCGTCTGGACACTGTGGATGTAACAAAGGTGAACACAAATGTTATTTGAACATGCTGCGACAGGCCTTTTGGAGACTCTACCGCCTTTTGCGATTATTTCGTCCTACGCCAACTGGAACACTGGAGTGAAAGGAGGAAACGCCTGGTTTGAGTCTGCTATTTTTATAGGGGTGCGGATAGCGACCATTTTGAATGTCTCTTTTTACTCAGCAGCACCCATTTCCGCGCATGATTTTTCCGGTATACTAGTAAACCTATTCGCAGCAACCAAAATCTACCTCAAGAGTGGTATAACCTGTTAGCGTCGCTATTCCTGTGAAGAGCCAGCCTAGAACTAATCAAAAGTGTAAGTACTTTCAGTTTAATCATAAACTACATGGGATGTTGATGATGGTTGGAAAGACGACGCAGTCAATTTCTACATACTCAGGAGCAACATACCAGTAACCCAAGTTGGCACAGCCACCAAATGTCTAGGTGCGGGTCCACCCACCACGATTCTTCGATTGTTGAAAGTTAACATAACAGCGACCCATTGTCAACCTCGGGGCGTGAACGAGCTTTGCAAAACCACTACGGTACTGTAGATATCACTTTTGTCTCTCATCCAAGCGACACCATGGGCGCACCCCCGTTCCACGATGGATTCCCGGCGACAACTCCCTGACTTGGTGATTTCACCGAGAGCACATCTACCCACACATCTGTCCAGTCGAGGAGTCTCAGCAAGGAGTTTGACCGGAAACTCTGTCCCTATTGTTACGATGCCTGGAAAAGGAGGGTAATCCACTGAGAAGTCTTGGAAAATGTCAAATTCGTGTGGTGGCATTACGGTGTTTTCAACGGGGTTATGACCAATTTTGGCGTTGAAACCAAGACTTTCGATGCATTTTGCGCGTTTCGAAGTAGACCAGAGCATATATCGGATATTTTCACGATGAATGCCAAGATCCCTGCTCGGTGAGACTGAAGGCGGCGATGGGACTTGAGGTTTCCGCCTTGCGATCGGTGTTCGTGGAGGTTGGGTCAGACGCTGCGGATGCAACGACGTCACGGGACCACAGTGTGAGAGAACGTAAGGCTTTCTTGAGCTTGGCGGCAGTTTTCGAATACTAGTAATCGCCTCCTCAGCACTGCCAGGACTGCACCCATAACCCCCCCGCATCCATGCCTTCCGATGTGGTCAGGGTGGAAAAGAGACCCATGAGGGAAGAATGGCATTATGCATTGGCGCAAATTTCTGCTCTTAAGGTTGTGATGTCGGAGTGGGCGAAAAGAGAGTTCCAGCCATGGAAGATGATATTCTATTTGGCAAATGGCCATGCTCCAATTGGGACAAGACTCGCGAAGTTGGCTTGGGCATTGACGTTGTACAATACGGGGCTATCCATTCCGGCATTGAAGCAGTGGCAGGCCTAATTGAGGACACGACCGCCATAGTTTTTGCAGTAGGTAATGAGTTTGAATCCTCGCTCAGAAAGCGGACCTGTTCGTCGCCGGAGATACCCCAGTAGTTGTATTTTTCCGTATCATTTTCTTGTGGCGGAATTTTGACGAAGTTCGTACTTTAGTGATCTTGTACTTTCCGTACTATGGCATTGTACATACGTACGTACTTTGAGGGTGCTGAACGTACACGTATTTTGTACGTTCAAGAAGACCCATAATATTCCTATTAAGGGAATTTATGGGCCCACAACATACGTACGAAGTACGGGGCTGTACAAACTCTGCTACATTCTCTCCCAATTGAAGCTTTCGCGAAAAGGATGGCGCCCACCAAAGCTAACGATGCCTTCGTTTGGCAACAGTTTACCAATCTCGGTCGCCCCAACCCTAAGAAAAGCAAGAGATACAGATGCCGCCACTGCCAGAAGGATTTTGCAGCGACCTCTGTTGGAAGGCCGAAAGAGCATCTCGCTGTGTGTGAGAAATGGCAAGCCATGCAGCAACAAGAGCGTCAAGTTCGAGATGATGCTGGCTATCTACCCTCATATTCCGAAGCTATACAAAAGAAGATAACCGAGGTCGGAATTCAACACATCTCGCGGGACGAGAGTCACAGCTTCGCCTATGATGCCGCCGCTGCTATAATCGCTGGCGGGCGCCCCTTCAGCCTCTTCGAGAGCCGCCGTTGGCGTTATTTCTTCACCCGCATTAAGCCTGGCTGGAAGCCTCCTAGCCGTGCTGTTATTACGAGAATTCTCCCCGACTTCTATCAAGAACTCCGTGACGAGGTTTGCAAACGCATTTCTAGCTCAGAATGGTATAATATAATATTTGATGCTTCCGATAATGTCTCCGGCCACAGAATCGTTAATATGTCGGTACAAATACCAGACGGCCCAGCTTTCTACTGGAAAACGTTTGATACAGGAGACGAATAGCACACAGCGGAGAATTGGGTGAAGTTGATATGGAGAGAAATGCAGCAACTGTGTGACGGTGATCTCTCCAGAATCAATTCTATCTGTACAGATACCGAAAATATGATGCGCTCTGTATTACATGATTTACTGGGGAGATTTCCGATGCGCTCTGTACATGATTTACTGGGGAGATTTCCGGAGCTCTCGCATATCAACTTCTCTCTATGCGATTCTCACGGCCTTCAGCTTCTAATTAAAGGTATCCTTCTTCTTCCGTTCTTTGAAGATCTTAGCAATAACGTCAATACTCTTCTCACGTTTTTCTCACGGTCCAAATTACAACTGCAAAGATTGAGAATGTGCCAGCGCACAAGGTGGAACGGAGTAACTCGCGCCCTGATTAGAAGGTAACTCGCCAGCTGTCTTTCTGCTCCATCGCCATACTAATCGCTCTTTCCGAATAGTGTCATTACACGCTGGGGTTCCCAGTACAATTCTTTCTTCTCCCTCCTCCGTTCTCGAGACCCTGCCAGAGACTGGTCTATTCGAAAGGATGTACGAGATGAGCTGCGATCTCAAGATTGTCCCGTTCTCCTGCCTGAAGCGATTCGAATCATCAAAGATAACAGCTTCTGGCTTAAACTCGAGACTGTGATCGCTGTGCTAAAGCCTGTGAACGAATTTCAACACGCTTCTGAGGCTGATGGGGCGGGAATCGCATACGTTGTAAATCGCTGGCTGCAAATCAAACACAAATGGGCTGAGATGAGAGGGGCAGATCAGTTTCCCGATATTCCGTGGGACGATATTGACGCTATATTCACAGCGCGGCTTGATAAGCAAACGTACGATATACATTGGATCGCCGATGCCCTCCGACCCGATACAACGGGCCCGAATTCGAAACGCCCGCCTAGCGTCTTTGCGCGCGTACAGGAGTACTTGCGGAAACAGCTGAAAAACGACAACGAATATCACCGTGCTCTTTCGGAATTCACACACTTCCGAATGCGTACGGGCGGCCCAGATGGCTTATTTAATAAGCACAGTGCTGTATACGACGATGGATTCAAGCCAGCAATGGCGTGGCAGTGCCTCCTCAACCAGGGCTCGATCCTCGCTAGTGTAGCTGTGAAGGTAATGAACACACTTGCGAACTCAGTGCCCTCGGAACGAAGTTTCTCTGCTATTAGTTTCATACATACGAAAGCTCGGAATCGCCTTACGCCCATGCATGATGACATGCAGGCCTTCATTTTTATGAACGACCGCGTGTTAGATCGTCTCAAGGACCAGAAATATGCCCATAAAAAGCGCTGGGCGGATCTTGAGGAGAAGGACTGGCTAGAACTCGAAGATTCATACCTCGAGTTGTTTGTTAATGCGCATGGCAAGAAGGTCTGGATGGATGGCGCGATGGCCGCAATAAATGGGGATTTTGAGTGGGAGGGTGTATTACAGTCGACGGGTGATATATTGTATGTTGGCATTGAGGTGGAATCTGAGGTTTAAGGCCCAAAAACGGTACAAGGGTGGGGCTCACTATTGCCCAAAAAGGAAGGGGGAAATTTGTATGTACGTACTCGTACGTACAGCCCAATAGTACGTACGGTACTATGGCCAAAATACAGTACGTACGTACGTACGTGTACTATAGGGTCGCATCACTAGTATCATCAGACTTAAGAAGTCTAAATGGGCGCCCAGGCGCCCATGTATCAGTTGCCATCAGACTTGAGGGCAGGCAGTCTGAATGCGACAAGCACGCTGCGAATGCAACCCAAACAAATTCCACAACTGTTATTGACCACAACACAGCAACGAAATTCATGATGGATAGAAAATAAATCAGTCGTTTGAGGTAACAGTGGTCATGCTACAACAGTGGAGTTGAAATTGAATTTCGTACATTCGTTTCCGAAGTCGTTATAATCGGCCTCCAAACAAGGGCAGTACCTATGTGTTCGCTTGCTTGACGTCCGCTGGAGTACACCGGTCGCTTCATGGGGCAACTTCAGTGGCGGCAAAACGGCCCTATCAGCGAAATGCAACGGACGTTTCGTACCTCGCCTGTGTGCGCCGCACTGCGCCTTGCCAAATTGGGTAGATACTACGAAAGGTCATGCGGCTAAGGTAAATAATTCATGGGCCGGAAGGCAATGTGACCACACCCGATCAAAAAATTCTGGGGTAAGCGCGGCGAACGGCCATAGTTATGGGTACGGGATGCCGAAAAGGCCGGGGACAAGGGGTCGGTGGGCCGTTCTTACGGCCGAAAAGGCCGGGGACAAGGGGCCGGTGGGCCGTTCATACAATGTGGGGAGCATTTGCTCTCCGTGGGTGAACCAAGGTCCCCTGCACCTAAAAAAAAAGAGGAGACAAGTGCTTTAGTCTCCAACAGATTATGCCTTCGTTACACATATCGGTTGTGTCTTTCATGTGAAATTGCATTGTGAGCAATCTTCGCCGGCCGGCCCAACCATCTCCATTTTTTTTTCTTCGTTCTTCTGCTGGTTGGAAGTCATGTACGACTCGGTGCTTACAGTACCGTGCTGTCCTTCATTCGTTCCTGTGAACTGGCGTACATCGTTGCAATCCTGACCGTCTCGTTTGGCAAATCCGCTGTGCTGGACTGTGTTATGTCCTCGTCCTTGCAGGTGGAGGCAATAACGCGCCCAGGATTGTGTATATCGGCCAACAGGTTGTGCGATATCGCCAGTTATGCCTGTTACTCGTTTTCTTCCCAAACAGCTTGTATGTATTAATACCCATCACCCCAGCAGCGTTCCGTATGCATATAATCACTCGATTCACTTAAGATGAAGTCCATGCTCCGTATAGAACACTAAGTCGTCTTCGAATGAGCCATCGCAGCTGCGTCGCATGTTCAACTCTCTGAATGGCCAATTACAACAAAATGGCTCAGCCGGAGAGGCTTCCGTCCATTCGAGAGTTGTTTCCGGACAACACATACATGCATCCTTTAAAATCCCACAGACATGGCCACCGTCATCTTGGGGCTGATCGCATCCAAAAACCCAGACAAACCTCAGAGTTCACGCCTTCTGTGCAGAGGGCCCGCTCTCATCCTAAGCAAGCCATGTATTGCCGAGACTCCACCCACAACGCGAGACCGTACGCTCTCGATACGTCGTCCAAGCACCTTCACGGCTATTCACAAACTCACCACAATGGTTCTCGCCTGAATCAGCCACCATTATATCGTCCTGTTCCATGGTCACGCAGCTCTATTGCTTGTACACGCTGTAGAGAGCGAAAGGTCAGTCATTCCCGTTCCCCCACCCCTACCACGACTCAAGACGCGGCACAACATAAACGCATGTGTTGTTCGTGAAATAATTGGTACCAACATTTCTATAGATTAAATGTGTTTACAAGAACTCTGCCCAGTGTGACCGATGCAACTCCGACGGTGCAGACTGCATATTCCACCCGGTTTCGAGCTCGACTGCCTTTCTTCCCGTGGCGGCAGTAAAAGGCAGGTTGCCCCCTGGGACTCAACTATTTGGTGCCTATGGTCAACCGCTGCCTCCTGACTCAGCTTCGCACGTTGCTGACCCGTCCACTGCTGTAGCCGGATTTCGGTAGCCTGTAACGACGGAATGATAACCTGGATTACAACAAATTGGGAGTAGCGAGACTCATGACAGAAGTTGGGGTGGGATGGCATGTCTGGTAATACGTTTTCTGAAGGGTTCTAGGAGCAACAGACTACAGTACAATGTATCATAACACCATGGCATTCAGGAAATAGCCGCGTGCAAAGCAAGTTGCAAGACGTTTGCAATTTGTCAACCAGCCACCGAGTCGTAGCATAAATCTTTTTCCCCGTTACAAATCACTTCCCTAAGTCATTCTGAATGCGCATGAAAGAGTGCGCTGCCGACAGTGGTCCGACACGTACTGTACCGTAAGGCCAGGCTACTCGACCTGTTTGACCGCCAAACGGAAAGCATATGCAGCTACCGGTAGTGGGTACGTTCTGTTTAGAGCATTCGATGTTATATACAATGTAACTTATCTCAACAAGTTATACTCATGACAGAATTATGATTCACATGGGGACAAAAGCTTTCAAATGACTATTGACGTTAACGTACATAGACCCTGACTACAGACAATGTTCGCGACATTCTACTAGCCAGGGCTGGTGTTACTCATCCAAAATTGAGGTCAGCATGCCTATTCATACCCTCTCTGTTCTGTGTTTTAAAGCTCAGGATGTGGACTCGACAGCGTATCCGGCATGGGTGAAATCGATGGTGAAATCTATCGTGAAGAAGTCAGGCGTCTCTTAGTGGCCACGCAGTGCGGAGGCCCTGGGCAACTCGCCGTAGTCAAGGGGCTACTCAAGAAAGGCATCTCCACGGAGGTGAAGGACAAGGAGCATGGCCGGACACCGCTGTTATGGGCCGCTTGGGCGGGTCGTGAACAAATGGTTGACTTACTCCTCCGCAACGGTGCCAATGTCAACGTCAAAGACAAAAGCGGTCAAACACCACTATTGCTGGCCGCTTGGACGGGGCAGGAAACACTACTTCATAAGTTACTTGGGGCGGGTGCGCAGGTTGATTCCGGGAATGATGGCGGTCGGACCCCTTTGTCGATGGCCGCTGGACTAGGCCACAAGAACATCCTGGCAACCCTGATCGAGGCAAACGCTGGTGTTAACTATACTGACGAATGCGACCGGGCGCCGTTATCATGGGCTGCTGGGGCGGGGCATTTAGAAATCGTCCAAATGCTACTGAAGGCTGGTGCGCGAGTTGATTCGGAAGACTATTGCGGTCAGACCCCTTTGTCATGGGCTGTAAAGCACCTTGACATTGTTATACTACTCGTTGGTAATAAAGCCAACGTCACTTCTAAAGATATCAATGAACGGACGCCGTTACTATGGGCCGCCGTAGGAGGATGCCATGAAGTTGTCGACCTGCTTATTTCCGAAATGCATGTGGAAGTTAACTGTGCAGACAAAAATGGCCGGACGCCGTTGTCGTGGGCCGCTGAACTGGGCCACGAAGCCATTATTGCCAGACTGCTTGAAGAAGACGTTGAGGTCGATGCTGCTGACGACTGGAAGCGCACACCGTTATCATGGGCTGCTGGGGAGGGGCACAAGGCGATAGTTCAGAAATTAGTTGACAGAAAGGCTGCGATAGACGCCAAAGACAGCATATATGGTTGGACGCCACTATGGTGGGCTGTCAAGAAGGGACACGAGGCTGTTGTTGAATTGCTCCTTCAGAGTGGTGCTGGCGTTGAAGCCAAGGATGGTCGAAGGAAACAAGATACAAATTGCGCCACGCTCTTGTGGTGGGCCGTTGGGAACGGACATAAAGCGATCGTTAAGTGGCTACTTGAGAACAGGGGGCATTTTAACACTAAGAATAACCTCGGTCAGACACCGCTGTGGTGGGCGGCGGGGATGGGGAATGAGGATATGATGAATTTGCTCCTTGGCACTCATGACGTTAACGCGGCTGATTATCACGGCCAGACACCACTGTGGTGGGCCGTGGGAAACGGTCATCTTGCAGCCGTGGATCTCCTTACTCGTCGGGGTGCTCAGGTAAATGTCGAGGATAGGTACGGCCAAAGCCCCCTAACGTGGGCTGCTGGTAAGGGCTTTGAAGAGATCACCAAGTTTCTCCTTAGGAGGAAACCCGACGTCAACCTCAAAGATCAGTACGGATACACGGCGCTGTGGTGGGCTGCAGCAAGCGGGAATGAATCTGTGGTACGGCTGCTTCTTCAGAGAGGAGCTAATATCAATTCCAAGAATAAGTACGGGCAGACGCCTCTGTGGTGGGCTGCTGGGAAGGGATACGAAGCTATCGTTAAGCTTCTGCTGAAGAAGGGTGCCCGTGCTGATGCCAAAGACCGGAAAGGCCAGACGCCACTATGGTGGGCGAAGAAGAACAGACATGAAGCCGTAGTCGAGCTACTGGAAAAACGCCTTCGTCGGCCACGAAAATCAACATTCCCGTTTCTGTTGGGCCAATCTCATGGTGGAGAGCATGAGTTGGCCACGTCCATGGATGGCCTGGAGCGGGTAGCATGATGTCAGAAATACTAAGGGCACTACAGTATCACGTAGAAGGGTCTATGTAGTTCAAATGTAAAGTTGATTATTTTTGTTCTTCTCCCTGCGTCTTGCTTGGAGAGAAGATCCTTTTTATCTTCACTCCCCAACCACCTGAAGTGGCGGTTGAGAATCTAACACATGACCTGTTCACTTCCACGAAACGCCTGGAGCGTGTGCGTGGACACGCAGATGTTTGGCAGAAGCTGATGGGGCGCGACTCAATGGATGCAAGCCACGCCTGCTTGTGGTTCGACGACATTTCTGGCGAAGTTATAAGCTACTAACAATGCTAACAATGTGACCCCTTCTTATGTATACAGTACAAGCGGCTGAACTGGCTCCTTCACCTGAGCCATCACAAATTGGTTCCCTCCCGAGACTAATTGCTCACGTACTCCCTAGCCTTATTCTGGCTTTTGCCATTTCCCACCCTCAGGATGCGCTTTCGATTGACCCTCTGAAAGTCTGTTATCAATAATGCGTGATGCGCATTATACCCGGGGGGGTCTCACCTCATCGCCTTACTTTCCTCCTCATCGTCGCCGGCGGGAAATTCGTTTTCGGACAGCAATGCCAAAAGTTCCCAGCAAATATGGTGCCGTGGTGGCTGAAACACACTCGGAAGCACGACTGTTGGCCTTTCTTGACCAGGTTTTGTACGGACATCTTGGTTAGTAAGTGATTCAGATTGCTGCTTTGCGGCGTACTCACTCCCAACAAGAGACAGATTTGAGTTGCAGTTACATCATGCCAACGAATTCCTCCTCCAAACCAGTAGGATACGTACAGTGTCAAGGGGTGTTCGGTGTAGTGCCTGTTCAATTTGATGTCTGTTGTGCAGATAACCGCCCGCGCGCTAAACGGAAGCGCGACTTTTCAGTTCTGCTTCCACCTTTCTCACTGCTGATCTAACAAATGATAACGGCCTCCCAATCATGTTGAATACATAGCTGAAGAAGGTCTCCTTAGCAGGTGCAGGTGTCCACGGCGCCCTGTCTGTTGTCCCCACGTATATCGTAGTTGCGATCTCCGAAGCGGATAGTTGCTGAGAGCGTTTTCAATGCGGTTAAGGTTCATGTTAGCAGCGTAATCGCTGGCGCTTTGCCCGTTGTTGTCGATTTTATGAATGTCAAGGCCGTCTTTGGCCACAAGGAGGTTGACCACAGACCACAACCCATTTCGAGCGGCATGTATCAATACGGTCCTGCCGTTATGATCGGACTGATTCGGATCGATCCGTGGGTCGCACAGCAGGACCTTGATGACCTTGGGCTTCGTCGACAGAAGCAGTGGAATGGTGCCCTTGTGTCTAATGTTGGGACTGACGTGCCTGAGTGCCCTTCTTACAGCCCACTCATTGTTGTATTCCACGGCGGCGACGAGAAGAGCAGGAGAGTCGATGTTAGCAATGGCGCACAACATCATCTCCACCACGGCATCGTTTCTGGCCTTGACTGCGAGACGTATCGGGGTCATGTCATTGCTGTCAGGTAGCTGAGGGTCGCATCCGTTCTGCATCAGGAGGCTGACAACCCGCTCGTGTCCTTCCTGAACTGCGTAGTGCATGCTGGTGCGCCCAAACCGATCAATTCGTTGTGGATCAGCGCCTTGACTCAGAATGAGCGCGACAGACGTTAGGTAACCCCCCTTGGCCGCAAGGAACAGGGCTGTCCGCCCATCTCGGTCTGATGCGTGCACATTTACGGCTCCATGAGCGAGCAGCTGCAACATAATCGACGTTTGGCCGCGAGCAGCTGCGTGCATGAAGGCCGTCCACAGATTTCTGTGCTCCCTGATCTCCGTGTTTATGATCTGTCCCGTTGATGTTGATCGCTTCCTGGGCTGCAAACTGTTCTATGCAGTCGATTCTTTGGGCCTGACCAGCTTGTGCAGAGGATGCCTGGTCGATTTCAAGCCGCGTTCCATCATGTATTTGTGGACAACCTCGTGATGGTGGCCGTGGAGTGCGCCTTCGAGAGCGACAACATCGGTGAAAGACAGGTATGCGCAGATGTAGTACAATAGCTCGGCCGGCATTTGTGCCAGAGTGGCCGACATTTTCTAGGTCCCTTTGCTCCAGCATGGACTGGAACATGTATGAATAGTGTAAAGAGCTGGAAATCGCATCAAGTTTATGAGCCCGCTCAGATTCTCGCCTCACTCTCTCGATTCAATTTCTCAATTTCACAGAATATCCCCAGCGGGAGCCAGAGTCATGGTACAATTTCACAGAATATCCCCAGCGGAAGCCAGAGTCATGGTACCGGCATGTGACAGCGTTGTGATCAACGGCTGTCAAAGATGATAGCCCTTTCGCTTGCGTCCTTGTGGACATCATGAGATCTTCGGAATTACTTATACTAATCGTCGGGGCAGCCGAACACAGAACACTACGACTGCAAAACTGTATTACGGTACAATAACACCGACCAAGCTCACACGGTGCGCTCATGATCTGAGCCGTGCCCACTCTTCAACTCCTTTTATAATGCAACACACGCCCCGGCCACCATTGCCAACCCCTGATCATAACGAGGCATACATTTTGGTAACGACTGCTTGCCTACTGCTGTCTAAACAGACATGACGGATTTCCTTGCCGATGGTCCACCCTCAGTAAATCAAGTTCTCAACTGCGTCTTCGACGTTTCGTCGCTACATGTGGTGTCAAGTCGTGACAAGGAACAATAAAAGAGCAGGAGTCTATTCAAAGGGATATATGGTGGGTTCAAAGAATTCCAGCACCGGTCATTACTGGCATTCTTGCCGCAATTAGAGCCGCAGTCCGGTACGCCGCGGTGTTGGGGCTGTTGCCAAAGCTGCATCGCATCATAGTCAAGGCATCAGTTGTATTGGGAATAGAGGCGCCAATTATCAGCCTGCTGAACACCGCCGAGAGAGCCGCCAGAAACTACAGCAATTCGAGGGCAGATCCCTCTCAGGCCACACCGCATGCTCCTTTTCTGGAACAGCTGTTTCGCTTTTACGATGAGAAGAAGGCGGATTTTCGCGCCATCCACGATTGCTGCTCGTCGAACATAGCCGCCGGATCTGACACGACGGCGATTACCATCAGTGCTGCACTTTACTTTCTTCATCACGAACCAGACAGGCTGGCGAAATTGCGTGAGGAGATAGACGGCGCCGTCAAGGATTCGGAGTTCATAAAAGTTGACGATGCGCTCGCCATGCCGTATCTCATGTCGGTGGCTCAGGAGACGCTTAGACTGCATCCCGCAGTAGGTTCCATGCTACCAAGGCAGACGCCGAAGGGGGGATGTGGTTGGCCGGTCGCTATTTCCCAGAAGGGGTACGTTCACGGCCTTGTGACACGCGGTCATGGTAACAGGAAACTAACGCTGGCGGTAGACCGTGGTCGGTGTAAATGCTTTGGCTGTGCATTATAACGAAGCAATACACGGTCCTGACTCGACGGAATTCCGTCCGGAGAGATGGATGAGCCGAGACAAAAGCCCCCCGGCTCCTCTTTCGGTGCGTCTTTGTTAATGGCAGGAAAATGCGGCATAATTGCGAAGCTAAC